GCTTCTTTAATTTTAGCAGTGAAGAACATGAATTCTGCTTTAAGAGTCCCACTTAAGTGAACTGTAACTTCTTGTAATAATTTAAACGTGTCTGAGCAAAGTTTGCATTGGAAAAGTTACAAAAATTAGTGAAACGTTTATCTTACCCAACCTAACTGCCAGCATCCTGGTTGTGAGAAAACAATACTTGTAATTCAAACACAGAAGAATTTATAATTCAGGGTCAGAAATGGATACCAAAGTCTCTTGCAGTTAAAGAATGAAAGATGTAGCTGGGAAGCAAGCATGCTTTATGTTGGAAATATTTCTTCTGAGAATGAAGAAAGGCTTCCTTCTTACCCAGAAAGTATGAGATCAGAATATCTATAAAGTAATTTAACAGAAGGTGCAACACAAGAAATGGAGGGATATAAAATTACTCTGTGTGATATAGAGCAGGAGTGCATCTTTGCACTGGACTGTTTTGGAGGATTTCACCCTGGTCACAGCTCCAACCCAAACCCAGCCACGTCCAGTCCCTTTTTATGAAGCAACTGTTGGCATCAAGTTTCAGCTCTACTCTATGCCATAACAAAAGCACTTGGAACAGATAATCACTACAGCTGCATTGACACTACTCTGTTGTAGCTCTGCTTGTGCCACCTGCAAAACCACAACCTGAGGCTGCCCAGCCTGTTTTCTGCCAAACTGCTCAGTAATGTGAAAGCTGCTTGCTCTGGGGAATACAGAAGCTTCAGCCCTCCTATTTCCCAGCATGCTCCTACGTGGTGTCTGGCTGCCCCGGCTTTGGGACAGATGCTGGTAAACCTGTCCTGTTCAACCAAATGCAGCATGATTTGCATTGCTATGTCATTGTGTGCTGATGTCTTTGTGCACAGCCTACCTCTTCTAAGCCTGAAACACAAGCAGAAGCACATTATGAAATGGCAAAGTGGATGTGCTGCCATGCAAACACATCATCCTCCAATGAAAGAGGATAGGAAGTATCATCTACTCTCTGACCTGAAGGAGATCTCTGGGGAAAACGGTGCCAAGACATTCCATATGATAACAGTCCTCTTCTCACTGAGGACTCCTTTTTTTCAGGAGAAAGAGTGCCTTTAGATCCAGTCTTAGAGTGGCACCTGGTATCCAAGAAAGGATGAGCTACAGTCAAAGCTGGTTAAAACATCCAAACTGGCTACTCTGAAACTGGTACTTAGGTATGTCTTGTCTGCCAACCAGTGACACTGGATCAAGGTAATTGCAGTTGGAAAGCAATTAAAAGCAAACCTGTTGATTATGCTGTTTGTTTTTTTATGAGACCTTTCCGTCGAGACTACTGAAAGTCTTTGCTACAGTACAGTCAGAAATGATTTTTACCTGGTCAGATCAGTTTTATCGTCATAAAGTTCCTGAGCAGCCTTATTGGGCTTGACTCAGTGCCCCAAAGTGCATGAGAGACACATCCTAAGTGAAAAGTCAAAAGTCAAACTGAAGATTAAGATTACACTTTCTGCCACATCAAAAGAGCAGGAAAAAGATGAGTTATGTTGATATCTGTGCTAAAAGAAGAAAAGGAGAATTTGACCCAGAGGAAAGGAGATCAGCCACTAACTGGGCTCCATCCCAGGGTGGAAAAAGGAACTGAGAAGCCCAGTCCAGTGACTGCTGAAAAAGACATTTACAAACACATGGGAAAGCTCAGAAGGACGGACTTGTAAGAAATGAGAATTTGATGAAAAGCTATAGCTTTTTTAAACTTTTGATTTAAAAACTGCATATAATCCCATGCAGCTGACACTGCTGGTCAACTAAACAACTAAACTAAGCACATCAAGCCTGCCCCCTTCATTAGGGCACCCAAAAGTCCTCTCATTTTATTGAACGTTTCTTTTGCTTTCAGCTAGTGAAAAACATACCCTCACTGGAAGATTTACTTTGAAAACACTATAATTAATTTAAATTTTCTCTGCAAAATTCTTTTTTGTGCTCAAGAAAATACTAAGCGATAATAATTTGCACTGATTCTGTAGGAAATAGTAAAGCAAAAGGAGGATATCCATAACTCACAAAGGTAGTTTTTTTACATCTGATAAGAGCTATTGCTGCAAAAAGGATTTTTAAAGTTCTTGTAGCCACAATATGAAAACTACTTCTCCATAGCATTCAAACCCTTCTGCTTTACTATGCAAGATAATACCACATAAATACAATTTAATCCAGGCATCTGAACTGCTTTCTGTAACATATGTATGACCTTTCCATTTTTATACACACCAGATCTGATAAACAGAGATTATATAAAGAGGAATCATTTGAGCTTTACCACACGAGTATAGCAGAGATTGTTTTCCCCTTTTTTAGGTGATCCTAACATCCTGTGGAGTCTAACAATTAGTGAGAAACTGACTTCTGACTTCTGTTAGGAAAAAGAAAAATCATGCTAGAAGATGCCCTGACTTTGAGCATGCTTTACTTTGTGCTGAATACTTTAAATTATCAAGGCTTTAAAAGCTCTCTATCACAGATCACAAAAGAAATCAAACCTCTTCTTTATTTTGCTTTCCTTTTTTCTTCATGTTGCTGCTATGTTTGTTCTCAACACACCTGTCAGCCCAAAAAAACAAGAATAAAGGACAGAAACAGAAATATCTGTTAGAATTAGGAGTAAAAACAAAATCTTAAAAGCATTCAGAACAAAGTTACCACAATAAACCAAACTCTTCGACGCCCAGCTCCCTGCGAAAAGAAATAGCATCCAAAAGTTGGTGCTGGGATCAGAAAACACAAGTGATAGAGCAGCAGACAGAGGAGATTGGTGAGAAAAGGTCTGTGAAGATAATCCCGTGGTCATTTAATAACCATCACTTGTATTTCTTACACACAGTTAAAACCAATAATGTTGATTATTTGGCTTTGCGATGACGATCTCAAAGGGCTGGAGGGGCACAGTGCAATTATCGTAAATCACAGAGCTGTTAAGGTTGGAAAAGACCACTAAGACCAACCCCAGCCCACCACGTCCCTCAGTGCCACACACTTATCCTCTTCTTGAACACCTCCAGGGACGATGACTCCACCACCACCCTGGGCACAACTTAAGGCTATCACCTCTCACCCTACCAGTGACCCAGGAGCACAGACCAACCCCCAGCTCATCACAGCCTCCTTTCAGGAGTTGCAGGGAGCAATAAGGTCTCTGCTGAGCCCCCTGCAGACTGAACAGTCCCATTCCCTCAGCTTCTCCCCATCACACTTGTGCTTCAGGCCCCTCACAGCTCCATTGCCCGTCTGTGGACACACTCCAGGGCCTCAATGTCTTTCTTGCAGTCAAGGGCCCAAAATTATTGCTGCACAGAAGCATTCCCCCACCACAGGCCACTGACAAAAAAATCTGATGCTGAGGAGGCAGCTGTAGATGACGAGATGGCAAGAGAGGGCAAAGTGAAGTCCGCGAAGGCAGGGAATTATCTGCTCTACCAAGCATTACCTTTGCAGATTTGATGTTGTAACTGTTCTCACAGAGCAGCATCTCTTAAGTACTTCCTAAATTATTTTTAAAGGAACAAGGCTATGGCTATAGCCAAGTGACTCTGTATAAATAGTGGAAAACCTCACAGATAATTGGAAGCAGGCGTGTAGGCCGGACATTGGCAAAGAGCACAACGGATTCCCACAGCTGCCTGTGAGGGAGGCAGGGCTGGGGCCCTTCATTCTGCTGCGGTGCTTACCAAGGAGAAGCTCCACCAGCAATTCCTTTCTTGGAGGAGCTGGAGAAGTACGGCCGTATTCCCTGGCTGTGGGCAGTGAGGCACGGAGTGAGTTTTTACGTTGGCCAGCGTGTTGATTTAGCAGAGCACAGGGTGAAAGCCCCTCTGCTACTGTTAGCCTGTGCGGCTGTTTCCAGGGCTCGCTTTGCTCCCTCCGCTCAGACCGCTCTGAGGGGCTGCGGGTGGCCCCAGGGTCCTTGCAGGGTGGAAGGAATAAACGGTCACTCAGTCCAAAGCCCAGCAAGCAAATGCAACTTACCACAGAAAACTGTGCTCGTCTGTGAAGTACGCAACCACTGTGTGACAAACATTGCCAGTGCTCAGGTACGAGGTCTGTACCCTGCACACACAGCAGCTCCGCATACAGACCGTGCTGTCAGCACTATCCCTCGCACCACACCACCCAGCAGTGCCCTACAGACCCACTTCACTAGGTGTTGTGACAGACATCGGTTCCACTTATTACAGACCTTAAAATTTGAATTCCTCTGGGGCTTTGCCGACCTCCAGAGCAAACCCTTGCAGACAGAGAACTACACTGCTGTAGCGATAGCAAAACCAGCCCTTCGGTTTGCTCCTTGTGAGCTTAGAATAGAAAAGCTGAAGCATTATTCCATCCCTCCTTCTCCTGGTCACATCCCTGACCGCTGGTACGAGACCAATGCATTTCGCAGCCACACTGATCCCTTTGGGGAGGAAGGTGTGACTCTGCCCCAGTCCCGCTCAGCCGTCAGCATGATGCAGGCGCCTCCGAGGGCTGCTCAGGAGCGCGGTGGCACAGCAGCTGTCCCCGTCGCCCGGCTCCTGCCGAGCCTCCCCTGTCTCTCCGTGCTGGGAGAGAACAGCGAGTCCTGCAGCCTGCAGGTGTCTCCCAGCAGAGGAAGCTGCAGAGCCCCTGGGGATCATGTGTGGTACCCGAGCAGATGTTGACTTGCTCTTGGTGCTCTTGGTGAGACAGACCCTCTCTGATCCTCTCACCGCCTGCAAGAGGACGGCCGCACTCCCGCGCCTGCAGCTGCTCCTTTAACATACAAAGGCAGGATTTCAAGTGAAGAGAAGAATGGGAGTCTGGCTGCAGCGTTTCCTTCACTGCTACAACAGCAGATTGGAAGAAGCTGAGAGTTTTTGTGCCTGGAAAACTGGATTCTGAATCGTGAGAGGCTTTGAAACACCACCCCCGCCCCCCAAATAAAACAAAAACCTTTGACTTCTTCTCTCAGCAGGAGGGGGAGGGAGGGCGGATTTACCATGAAGACAAATCGAAGATGCAGAGCCCTGCTAGCAGTGAGTCTGAATCTGATGGCTCTCCTCTTCTCTACAACAGCTTTTATCACGACCCACTGGTGTGAGGGCACGCAGAGGGTCCCCAAGCCGAGCTGTGGGAAAGAGAAGAAGACAAACTGCCTCAACTACAGTGGGAATGAGACTGCCAATGAGACAAACCAGAATGTGGTTCATTACAGCTGGGAGACGGGAGATGACCGCTTCCTTTTCAGGTATTTCCACACTGGGATCTGGTACTCCTGTGAGGAAAATATCAATGCTGCTGGTAAGTGTAAAACAACTTCCTTCCAGCTTGTGTTGTTTTGTGTTTGGCTCAGCGTAATGAACACACAGACAGGCTGTTCTGTGCTGTAGCTAACGCGGATTTGCCCTGCAGAGAGAGGCAGAATTTTAACAGTTGTTCGTTGAAACACAACCTGTTCCCAACGAGAGCAGAAATTTGCTTGTTTACCTGCTGGCTGATGCAGGGTCTGTGCTCTGAAGGCAGCCGAACCCCGGCTAAGCGGTGTGTGCTACCCCTCAGCGGGCACTGCAGCTGGGCACTGCTCGGCGCTTCGCCTCCCAGAGCTGCTCCATGCAGCGCACAAAAGGCACTGGCTGTTAGTTGTTATGGAGATTCTGACATTTACCCTATCGGATTGCGATTGCCCCCTAAATAACCCAAAGGGCAGTGGTGTGAATGACGGGAAAAGCGCAGCTCTCACGATTTTTATCGGGCTGTAGCCTAGAGTTCCTCTTTTCTAAGTAAATGAGCACTCAAATGCTTTCTGGTGGCTAGATTATACATGGTATATACTGGAGTAGAGAAAAGGTAGTTAAAGGGCAGAACTGAGCACAGGAAAGCTCATTTCTGTTCCCTGCTCAGCCATTTACTTCCTGAGGACCACTAGAGAAGACCGCTTCAGTTTATCAGTGAATTCATTTCCTTCTGTACCCTGGAATTTACCAACAAATAAAACAACGGAGGATGGATGGAAGGCAGACCTGCTTCCAGAGTTGTCAAACAGAGCTCACATCCCAACTTGGATGTGAAAGAGCTGTCCTGCCATTGCCAACGAGTGAATCAAGGGCTGCTCAGCACTGTGGGCAGAGGAGGACAGCTGATCATCCTATGTGTTGTGTCTCCTAGGACACCACCCCCCTGGTAGGGAGAAGTTCACAGAATTTGTTTAACTACTCTGTGTGCATGTGCTATAAAGTGGGGCAAACTTAGTGAACAGCTCATAGTCCATCCCTAGGTGGGGTGCACACTCACGGGTAATTTGGGGGATGGTGCTTCAAGTTGGTCATTACAACTCAATTTGATGTAAGAAAAGAGAAGCTGATGAACTCTAGCCTTCGGAATGACAACAAGTGGCCCCATGCACCAAAGTAACACTCCTGACATTAGAGGAGAGGGAAGTAGAAAAGGGAATACTTTTCTTATTGATTTGGAAATAAACTCAGGCCACAGCAGACTAAGTGAGTAGTTTAAGGCCCTCCAACACTATAAGCATCTTATTTGGGATTGGCATAAACGTGCCTGAAGATTTCTTGCATATATTGCAAGCTTTCCAAGCCAAGCTTTATGTTTAGCATAACTTGTGACTGTGTGGCTCTAATCTGAAACCTGAATTATCAAAGAGAAATATGGTGATCAGTTCTGTGCTGAGTAAACAAAGCCATGCTGTAGTGTTTTCAGGAGGTGGCTGAAAGCCAGCTTTAGAAAGTTGTGGTGAAAGCAGGAGAGAGGGTTGTTACTCCTCTCCAGCATGTCACCATAGCAGCCTCATCATACGTGTTTTATCTTAGAACACTAACTTGGTGAAAAGAACTTTTCAATTAGCAGATAAGGAGCAGCCAACCTTTAGAATCCCACCAGGTATAAGGTTATACTGGCTCAGACAGACAGTTGCTTTGTTTGGGTTTTACAATAGATTTTCTGATAAGGACAGGAATGGTGTAATGAACACAGATCGGAATTTGGCTCATGAGAGTGTCAACACATGAAAGGTCTTCATCCAGACTTAGTGGTTTGTGAGCACATGGTCTTGGCCTGTGGTCATTGCTTATACATGCAGCCCCTCTGCTCAATGCATCTGCAATTCATAGGCTTATTGCACTGCTTACAGTACATTTATTGACCACAATTGTCTAAGTACTGCAAGTCATATGGTCACCATGTCATTAATAAACACCCTAGGATGCCAGGAGAATGCCAAGAATATACCACTTAGCATACAGAAAGTAGAGTATTAAATCCATCAAAACCAGTACCTAAAAGGCACCGCATACTTTTCTTTAAGCTCAACAAATACAATACTGAAAATGACCGTATAGGAAATTTATCAGCCCCTAATCATCTTTGAGGTCCTCTGCTGGACTCTCTCTGAAAGATCCCTGTCTTTCTTGAACTGAAGAACCTAGGACACAGTGCTCCAATATGGCCTCACCGGGGCAGAGTAGAGGGAGAGGATCGCCTCCCTTGATCTGCTGGCCACGCTCTTTGTAATGCACCCTAGGATATCATTGGCCTTCTTGGACACAAGAGCACACTGTTGACTCATGGTCAACCTGCTGTCCACCAGTAAACCCAAGTCCTTCTCTGCAGAGCTCCTCTCCAGCAGAACTCTCTCAGCCCCTAACCTATACTAACACACAAGGTTATTCCTCCCCAGGTGTAGGATTCTGTACTTGCCCGTGTTGAACATCAGAAAGTTCATCTCCACTCAGTTCTCCATCCAATCATGGGTCTTTCTGAATGGCGAGATGTCCAAGATTCTCACACAATCCGCATACTGAATGCATAATTACCAGCATTCAGCCATTTCAGTTAGCCAAAGTGCTGTTCCTAACAGTTCTTGTAAACCTACTGTGCTGCTAACAATGTTATCCAGTGTTTTGGAGAACCCTCGCCCTGGGTCTCAGTACCACATACTCCATACACAAAGCACTGTTCTAAAGAACCCATACAGGACATTCTCATAAACATAGGGCTTGCTTAACAGTCTTCTTTTAGCCCATACCTGATGTCATCAACAGCCATCATCTAGGCAGAGTCCTTTCAGTAACCACTCCATAACTTTACACTAGTCAGCATATAGTACGTATGACCAGGACATATGGCCACAGACAACAGGGAGCCCCATTCCTACAGTTCCTGACCTTTCCCTCAACACTCACTGCAGATGTCTGAACGAATCTCACCGGCAGTGCCAGTAATTGTTAATTGTCTGTGTTGTTGTGATGCTGTCAAAACAAAAATGTTTTGAGTTTCGTTCCACTGCTTATTTGAAATATCTGCTGAAATCTCAGGTGTAGGGGTGCAAAGACACACCATGCACTGTATGGAGACCAGCAAAGTGAGCCCTCCTCTTGTTCCAAGATTTCACTAACATCTCTAACAGATGTTGAATGTCGTGATTATTTCTGAACTATTCGGTGCATCTGAAATTTATTTTTATCCAGAGTGCCTAGGTCTGCTAAAGAATCTGAAAAATATTTTGCATCTGAGAAATAAAATTTTGAATTCCCTCTGGGAAAAGAGGCACTTGAGCATATACATATCTTCTGCAGTTGAATCCTGTAACTAGTTAGCACAGCTTCTGACTCAAAGGTATGCTGAATTCCAACCTGCTTGAAGGAGGATGGAGGCTCTTTTTTCCAGAGTAGTTTCAATGCTTTGGATACCAAACAGGTGAAGGAACCAACCATAAGAGCAATACATCTCACTTCCCAGAGAGCATGAATCTAAAGCGTACTTTATGAGCTCTGTAGCTCATGCTGGTCACAAGTCCTGTTCTGCACTTAGGCACAGCACAAAGTGCTTGCTGCCTCGTTCCAGGTTGTGAATTTCTTGGCTATAGCCAGGTGACTCAGAGCAGAGCTGCCTGTTTTTTTTTGAGTACGACCTTGCATGCATATCTTATTTCATACCTGCTGTCTAAGTCTGTGCTTGGTCCACTACTGGATATGTCACAAGATACTAAACTAGTGATATGCTAACAGCATCAGAGATGGAAAAGATCCAGCAGTAAACTGATTGGTGGATTTTCTGACTCAAGAATATAAGATTAAAAAAACAATCAACACATGAAGTAGGTAAGGCAGCCTACCTTGTCCTTTTGCAGAACTGGGCAGTGATAAAATCTTCGCCATTTTTGCACATTAAAGCATTTATTTGATTTTAATAGAAACAAACCATAACTCGGGTCTTGTTTAAGTGGCTAATGAGCAGGCAGTATTGGTAACCAGATCTGCATTTCAGAGAGAAAAGCAGCTCTTGTATAGATGCACTTTTAAGAGTACTGCCCCTTCCAATAAAAAGAAAAAAAGAGCTTTTTCATGTTGCTCACTACTGTCCACAGAAGCCAGATAAATAAGAAAACTGTACATCTAGGCTCGTTTTGCATTATTGGAATTCTATTTTGAAAGCAAGGTATCTCTGTATTCTCTGTGCCACCACGTATTCATTAGCACTCTTCAAGGAGTAAATCATCGAATGGCTTGGGATCACCTAATTTTAACCCCACTGCCACGAATAGGGTTGCTTATGTCTATAAGACATGAGATCAGGCTGTCTGGGACCCCATCCAGCCTGGCCTTGAACACCTCCAGCGCTGGAGCATGGGAGAGTAGAACTTACCTGATATGCAAAGGTGCACCAAAGGACCACAGATATAGGCACTAAAAGCACATCTGCAGAAGGAGCCAGAGAACTAGAGAGGTGCATCCTGCAGTATTGAACAAATCTCTAGCATATGAAGACAAAAGCTTCATTATATTACTATATATATATTTTTGCAGTATGAAGTATAGAAACAGCACTGCTTCACCCTTCTCCCTCCAACAACGTGATAATAAGAACATGTGACTCACCATAGGCAGCTGTCCAGGGAGAGGGACAGGGCAGAAGCACCTGTGGAATAAATAATTAACAAGCAAGAGGAATTGGGAAATCTTATTGCATTATGAAAAATGTAATGTAATTGGCATAACTGAAACCTGGTGGGTTTATTCACAACTGGAATGTAAAAATTGCTAGTTACAAATTGCTTAGGAAGGAAAGAGAGGGTAAAAGAAATTGAGGAGGTTTAGCTTTGTATTAAAGAGATCATTTCCAGCGATAGAGGAACTGAACTCAGGGGGCATAGAGAGTTTCCATCCGAGAATGCTGAAATAATTGGCACATGAAAACGCAGTTTTGGTAACAAGAGTCTTTCATGAATCTTCACATTTCTGTATTCTGAGAGGAAGATGGGTAAAAATAATAGAGTCCGCTTGACC